GCAAAAAAAGAACAGGGGAGAGTGGGGCTTCTTCAGACTTAAAAATTTGAACTGTCATCACTCTAAATACCTCACCAAATAAAGAAAGATAATATTCATAAAATACTTGGTTCACCCAAGTTTCACTGTATATATGCTTTTAATATTAAACCCTATACTTGTTGTAAAAAAAATTAAAACCACTTTTTCAAAAACGTCTGAAGGTGCTTTTACTTGGGGGGTACATTCAGACACAATTGGAAAAATGACAACTTCATATAAATGTTTCAGAAATTATATATTACAATATTTAAAACTATATTATGATACTTAATGAAACCTCCAATGCATATTGAAGTTTTCCAATGAAACTGAAAAAGACAATAATAATTTCTGTCGCTTTGTACCCTGCTCAGAAGGAGTTGGCAAAAGGGCTACAATTTCTGATAAAGAAGCACTAAAGATATATATATATATATATATATATATATATATATATATATATATATATATATATATATATATATATGGTACGATGGAGTACAAAAATTTATAATTTACTTTAAGTGACACTCCCAAAAATGAAATTTTAACATCCCCATCATCACATTTACCAATGATTCTCCCAACATAGTACACATCTTTTTGTTTTACAGTCTCAATCTTCAATTTTCAATTCACTCCTGTCAAAATTTTGCTGTGGTTCTTCTAATTGGAGTTTTTGCCATTTTTATCATCAGCTGTCTTCTCATTCTTCTCATTTCCAAAACGTAGTTTTCTTTTCGTAGATTTAGTACGTTCAGCATTAGAGTTGGTGGTTTTCTTTATTTTTTTATTCATCTGTTTTTCTTCCCGAAGAAGCTTTTTTGGGGTGTCAGTTATTATTCTGCTTTTCTCCTTTTCTCTTAATTTCTTGTAGCTAGTATTGCGTTTCAATTTTGGATATCCTCGTATCTCCTCAGGACTTAAATAACAGCCAGGCTGTTGAGGATGCATAGGCGTAGAGTTTTGGCAGTTTGATACTGATGGAGTGTCTATTGGTTGCTGAAAGTTTTCGCTTGAAATTTGGGAAGACGAGGGTGATGAAGACCCTTGAAGAATTTATAATGTTCTGTGGTAACATGTGCTATTACAATACATGCGGCCACGTGATAGATTCCAAAACGTTGGCCTGGGTTAGACTTCAACCATGAATCAATTGCAACATTATAATATGTTTGTTTCATCAATCCCACATCCAGTGGTTGCATCATGTGGGTACAATGGAGTGGAACTGTTAGAATGTGCACGCCATTAGCTCTTGCTAGTTCTATTGCCTCAATTGACAAGTGGTTCTCATGATTGGTGCAAATTTTAAGCATTGTTCTCTTTTTAGAGGAACCTGAACATTTTATAAAGTGCTGCATCACATGAACGAAATTGAAATTAGTCATCCAACCCGACTGATAACGTCAAACTCAAAGTCCTGTTTGGGGTTCCATTTATCATGTGGCTCTTGAAGTGCACTCTCGGAAATACTAGAGCAGGAAGTATTGTATTTTCAGCTGCATCTATAAACAAAACTGTAGTAACTAGAGTTCCTCTCTCACCACTTACAGCAGCTGCTAATTGTTTTTTGGCCTTTTTGTGAAATCACACGAGAAGGTTCTTGGTTAGTTTCAGTTTTTGTTTCATCCATATTCCAAATCCTGGATGACTCACAGAGTTCTGGGTATCTTTAGATTAATTTTTCATAATTATTAAAAAAAGCATTTACATTATGTTTGTTAAATGAAATTGCACGTGCAATACTGCATCCTTCAGCAACACGGAGAGATAATCTTGGATAGCGTTTCATAAACCGTACAGCCAGTCCTTTTCTGCTATTCTTGGATCTTCCCAGTTTTTAGGACAGTCAATATTGTTCATTTTGGCTATCTCATTTGCTAGTTTTCGAGTTTCTAGATTGTTAAGACCATAAAACATTTTTAAACACTTAATTAAATATGCCTCAAGGTCATCTTTCTGTTTGTCAGTAAAAATCTTTCTAGTATCGTTTCTTAATTTTATATCATATTCGCCATGTGGGTTATCCCTATACTTCTTAACGTAAATACCAACAGTTTGATATTTTAATCCAAATCTTAGCAACATTTCTTAACCATCAACATCTAGGATGGCTGCTACACATTCTTTCATAGATTCAGCATCAAAATTTTCTTTTGTTTTGTTTTTTCTTTCTTCCTATTTCTTACCATCTTCAGACTATCTGCAACAAAGAGAAACCCTTTTTAAAAATAACTAATAATTTAATAAATATTTGGACAGATCCTTAGTGAAATGGGTAAAAAAATGTAGAAACATGGGAATAACGGTGGAAGAAAACACGCTATATACACTTTTCTTTGCGGATGACCAGGTAGTAATTGTCGAAGATAGCTACGATCTTAGCTATATGGTAAGAAAACTGCAAGAAGAATCTGAGGTGGCAGGTCTAAACATAAATATGACAAAATGTGAATATCTATCAGTGGGAACAGATGAAATATGTGACCTAGTCTTGGAAGACGACAAAATCAAAGGCGTACAATCCTGCAAATATTTGGGGGTCATTTTCAATAAGAAGGGAAATAGCGCAGATGAAATCAGGGAAAGAATAAACAAGGGTAGAGCAGCGACCCGTGCCTTAAACTCTCTTCTCTGACAAAAAACAATTCGACGAGAAACCAAAAAACACATTTACGGTAGTATAGTCCAAAGTATTACACTTTACGGTTCGGAAGTATGGGACGTCACCAAAGCTAATAAAAACAAACTTATGACGACAGAAATGGATTATCTGAGACGAAGCTGCGGTAGATCGAAAATAGAAAGAGTTAGGAACGAACAAATAAGAAACGAAATGAAAATGGAGCGAAATATCAATGATGACATAGAAAGAAAACAATTAATCTGGTTCGGACATGTTAAAAGAATGCCAGAGTACAGATGGCCTAAAAGAGTACTGGAATGGATCCCTCCTGAAAAAAGAAAGAGAGGAAGACCACGGAGAAGTTGGCGCAACGATATTGATGAAGCAATGGCGGCAAGAGACTTAGAAGAGGCAACTGCGTATGACAGAAAAAGATGGAAATTGGGGGCGGAGAAGCGGCGACAGCCGTAATCAATCCGTTATTATATATATTTCAAAAAAGGTGTCTATTGCGTTTGTCTGATAGTGCCCCATACCCTTTTGTCTGAAGGTGCCCCACTCGATGTGTCCAGATTAGATGTAGAAATATAACCATAGAGTGCCATCAGTAACACATGTGAATAGCACAGGTTATACAGCAATAAATGGACTTAAAACTGGTAGCAGTGTTAATTATCCCAAGTCTTATCTTCTAATGAAAAACTAATCTTACTTTCAATCCAAAAATTTGACTTTCAAGCTCCAAAAAAAGTAACTTTTCACTTTATGACATGAACCCTTTACTGCACTGTTCTACAGACTGAACTACAATAGTGTGAGTAGTAATGGAATGTTTTGATGTTAGTGTTGTCAACCCGAGTCCTTAACCACAATATCAATGTCTGAAGCTGCCCCCTGTATGAAAGAGCCCCCTTCTCCCCTATATTACCTTTCGTTTTTTACTTGGAGGTTAATACCCTAGAATATTAGTTGTCCCCCTTTCCCAAACCTTAGATTATGCAAATCAATGCCTCATTCAACACTTATATGGACCAAATTCGGGACAAAACTAATTTTTTCTGCTTATTTATTTGCTATAAATTTCTCCTTTTACTACGCTGCTGGACTCTTATTAAAAGCCAAATCAAATTGTACGCCTTAGAAGAAAATTAGCATTCATATAAGCATTCATAAACAAGTTTTTATCGATTAAAATAATCATGTAGTGTAGAAATAGTGAAACAAGTGTTTAATGTGTTTATTATGATGAGGGCCAGTACAGAAGGTATAAAGAATTATAAATTAAAAATTTCTAAAATTATTGACATACACAAGACGCATATAATATGTTGAAGCTTGAAGCTTTGTTTCTGGTTTGCAATCTTATATTAATTATATCAATATCTATGAATTTTTTAGTTCTTCCATCCATTCCTAATCTCGAATAGCCTATATAAACGGCTTTACTTATTAATACCTAGGCATCTTTTTTATTATAGGTCAAACTGGCCTGGAAAAAAGTGTATTTTCTCAAAAAAATTTGACAATTTTTACGTGTGCAATTTTTTTATTAAAATCAGCAATACGTTCAGCACATCATATGCCATTTTCTGTGCTTGGTCTTATAGGAGGTTTTGAATACATCTTGGAAGAGTAATGTCAACACCAAAAACAATAAAAATCCAATTAAAGGTCATTGCCTGTTATAGAAATTAAACTCTTTTAAAATTAAAAAAAACACATTAAAAAGTTCTTAATAAACCAATGGTTACTTGGTTGAACCAAGAAATCCATTTTTCTCTTATTGTACCCAGCTTCCAGGTTTAGCATGTATATGAAGGATCAGGAAAAACATAAAAAACAGTCTTTGGTGTTCCAACTTTCTTTTTTTGAGAGGCTTGTAGGAAGGAAATGTAGGAGGTTTTGAATACATCTTGGAAGAGTAATGTCAACACCAAAAACAATAAATATCCAATTAAAGGTCATTGCCTGTTATAGAAATTAAACTTTTTTAAAATTAAAAAAAAACACATTAAAAAGTTCTTAATAAACCAATGGTTACTTGGTTGAACCAAGAAATCCATTTTTCTCTTATTGTACCCAGCTTCCAGGTTTAGCATGTATATGAAGGATCAGTAAAAACATCAAAAACAGTCTTTGGTGTTCTAACTTTCTTTTTTTGAGAGGCTTGTAGGGAGGAAAACACTTATAATTGAATTACTGCCTTTTTCCGGTGCACCCTATAAAACAAAAAAAACCAATATAATACTAACACCCTTCACAATAGAACAATAATTGGCTTAGCTTTTTTATTATTATTATTTTTATATCGTTTTGTTAAGGATATCCATTTTAACTTATATTTATTTAGGAACTGCACCTACAACTTTTGAAGAGGCTGCCAAATTAGTAGGATTTGGCAAGTTCAACATTTTGCTGATTAGTTTAACAGTTTTTGGTATATTCTCTCATATGTCTGAGATTGGTTCAGTGGCGTATATTCTTGCAGCAGCCCAATGTGACTTAAATTTATCTTTACAGCAAAAAGGGTATCTAAATTCTATAATTTTTGCAGGTAAGAATGTTAGAAATAAGCATTTTTAAATATTAATTAATAGATAGATAGATAGATAATTTTAATGAAATGGTTTGGAATTGTTTTTATAAAACGATTTGTCTTTACGATCACGATAACTTTCTCATTTGATTACAGTGTCTTTACCCGGTGCATTTCTTACAAGCAGTTGTAGCTTGGAGATAAATATAAATTACACGATAAGTACGAAATTAATTCGAAGAACATTAAACCAGACATACCGTGCATTGTCTGGTTTAATGGTTGAATGATAATTAAATCATATAAATATTTTTTAAACAAAAAACAATGATTTTAAATTGAAACCATTTAATTTAATTCAATTTAATAAAAAATATGCAATCAACTTTAAAAATTTAAAACTCATTCATTCTGAAATCTTGTTTGGAACCATATTGTAAAAGGAACTTCAATCCTTGACATTTAATGATTATATATATATTAGCCACTTATTTTTTGTGTAATTGACATTTTACTTTAAGAGTTGATTTTTTTTATTAACATCTACCATTTTTTACAATCTGTTTTACAATAAAAACAATAAATAAAATTGTTTGTTTTTACAATATCAGAAATATGTATATGTATAGTAAATATGTCCAGTGACCAAAGCATCATAACACAAATATTGGCTAGTTTACCGGTGGGATGTGCACAGTGCATATACATAGATAAAACGCGAACACGAATACCAAAACCGGCACAGATCAAAATGACTGGGTGCTGTTGAAGGTGTAGCTTCCACTACTGTAGACACTGTCAGGAACGGTTTGGTAGGTCCAAGGAATCATATCGCTTCAATTTATTCTCTTGTTGGTTGTGTAGAAGATTGTATTCCAGTGTATTAGGATGCACGCGCAATTTGTTTTGATATATTATTCAGAAATTCTTTTGCACTTTTCAGAGAATGTTACTACCTGCAGATCTCTATGTAAGGCGTCATTCTGGATATACAAAGGGGCACTAGCGATTGTTTTTAGAGTTTTGAATTGAAATCTTTGTATTTTCATAACATTAGATTTGCTAGCTGATCCTCAGAGCTGCGAATCGTATGACCAAATGGGTTTTATTATAACTTTGTATATCTGCAACTTGTTGTAGATTGATAGGTTTAGGTTTGTCCCAGCATTCAGTAAAGTTTTCTGTATAAAATTCCTAGTTGTAGTCTTTTCATCCATATATGTTTGGTTCATGTTACTCAATTGTCCAGATGAATGGCAAGATATTTTACGTCATCCTTTTGGAGTAAAGGATGTCCATCGAGGTTAACTTGTGGACATATAACTCTTAGAGTAAATGTAATATGTGTGAATTTTGAGGGATTTACTTTAATTCTGTATAGTTTAAACCGTTCATTTTAAATGTAGTTGCAGTATCTCAGATGCTATTACTGGATTTCTATGAGATGTTAGAAAAGCAGTATTATCTGCAAATGTTGCAAGCGTAATGTTTTTGCTTGTTGGTGAGTCAGCCGTATATATCAGGTACAAGATCGGTCCGAGCACACTACCCTGAGGTACACCAGATATGATAGAGTAGATGGGGTATAGAAGTCCTGTGTGCCACACCTTGTCAAAAGCTGGAGAGGTATCTAAAAAGGCTGCAGTACAGTATTGCTTGCTTTCGAGACTAGTTCTTATTGTTGTATATAATCTATGAACTTGTTCTATTGTAGCGTGTTGGTTACAAAATCCGAATTAATGGTCAAGTATAAGACCCTTTTGTCTAACATTGGTTTGATTTTTCTCAACAGAAGTTTTTCAAAAACCTTAGAAATGACTGGGAGTAAACTAATGTAAAACTAAGTATGAGTTGGCATGTTTAGGATATTTATCAGATTTTTAAGTGAGTATAATTTGTGCCAGTTTTCGTTGCCAAGGAAAGTAGTGCAGACTTAACATAGTATTGAAGATCGTAGTATATATTCTGTAGCGATCATGTGTTAGTTCTTGAAGGACCTTACCTGCAATAAGATCGTTCCCGGCGTCTTGTTGAGTTTTATCTCATTTTTATTACATTCTTATTTTACTTCTTTAATATTAAATTGGGAGATTTGTAGTTCCATTTGATATTGAGAATATCAATATAAAAAAAGAATAAAATGGTTCTTCTTCGTCTACAGCTACTTCTCTGGTAAATGGACTAAATACTTTCGAAAGATGTTCTGCGAATGTCTCGGATTTCTATTTCATAAAGAATAGTTTGTATCTTTGAACTTCGTCAGATTTTCTAGATAAGTTTAGGTCCCTTTATTTTTTTCTTCTTTTAACAGATTTTTAAGTCTTCTTGTAATTCTGTTAGGTTTGCTTTGTCAACAGCCGCGTGTATGATTTGTCACTTTCTCCTTAGCTTTCTTGTCTCTTCAATCAAGCATTTTGCACTAAGAGAACAATTTTTGATTTTTTCCATATTGTGTGTTCAGGAGTAACACTCCATCCCGCCTTTGGTATAGCAGTAGTAAGATATTATACAGCGTTTTCAATTTGTATATTCTGTTTTGAGTGGTTCAAGTTTATTGATATTTGTTCTGTGAGTGAATTTCGAAATATATTCCAGTTTGTTTGTATTACTTCTGAATATAACCTTGGAGTCTAGGTCAATTAGAATGGGGGAATAGTCTAACGAAACATACCAACATGATTCTGTTGAGCAGGTGTTAAGAGATATACCTTTAATCACACAGAAATCCAAGAGATCTGGTGTTTTATTTGGATCTGTAGGCCAATAAGTTGGTTCTCCTGTAGATATATATTGTAGATTTTGTGTATGTTTCCCATTATTGATTTCAAGAGTTGTCTACCCCTTGTTGTGGTTACCCTAGAGCCCCCAGTGGTGATGTTTGCAGTTAAAGTCTCCTCCTGCTATGAATTTGTGCCCAAGAAAACTAAAGTAGATACTAAAGTTGTTTTTGTTAATGGATTGGCCAGGAGGACAGTAAACTGCAGATAAGCTGAGATGGCCTAGTCAGTCTTCAGTGACAATCCTAGTTGATTGCAGGTACTTTTCACTAAACTTATTTAACTCACAATATTTTATATTAGATCTGATAATGGTAGCTGTGCGACGTTGTGCTTTGTCATTTGGATGTTTTGTGTAGCAAACAATGTATTTTGGAAATTTAATATATATTTTTTCTGTTAGATGAGCTTCTGATATAAGCATAACATAAATTTTCTTCTGGTAGAGAAAATTTTTGATCTCTTGGATATGCTGCTCTGAAGCTATTTTCTTGTGGCATTTTAAAGTAATTATTATTTAAATAGGAATAAGCCACAATTAAAGGTTAAAGTACGTTTATTGACGTGTCAATATCTACTTCAGAAATCGTTCGGATATGCTGGGTTAGGCTATTTGAGTTTCAGACGGCTACTTTAAGTTTGTGTTGCATTAGTGCATTCATAGTGGTAAGGAAATAGTGGTAAGGAGATGAAGCATAGTGTTTATTCTCTCCATTAGTTTTGCCATCAGATTTTCAAGGTTGGCAATTTTAGTTAAATGGTTTAAGCCACCACTTTGTTGGTTTATGATTAAGTTTTTTGAGCGTAAGAAACATCAGAGATTACTGTTTGATTGCTAGTTTCCTAGTTGCTTTTGAAAAATGTATTGTTATTATATTTGTTCTCTTAGGGTTTTATGCTTCAGCTTTAGCAGTTTCTCTTTCTATAATGTACGATCAGTGTCTATCAGTTCACAGAGCAACTATTCCTCATTAACTGGCCTTCGGAACCTGCAAATATACGAATTGAAGTCTCTGTGTTCACTAAGCACATGCATAAAACAATTTAGATGTTATTACTCACAGTTGATACATCTTCTCAAGTCTGGAATCAATGATTTTGTCCACTACGTCACTTTTCATCTTGTCCTATTTGTCTTGACACAAGGAGATTGATTTTTACATTTCTTCGTTCTCAGTCTCTTTTTGTTACATACTCACTCAATCTCTCATTTATTAACACGTGCATGGCAACACAATCGGTAAAATTCACAAGATCTCAGTAAACACTGTAAAATAAGCATATATCATCCGCAAAACTTTTTCGATCTGCATGAGGAAGGAGTTCTTGAATGATAATTAGAATTGCCTCATTCAACAGATTGAATGGCTCTCGTCCTCTTTGGTTTTAGACTCAAAATATTGATAATGATCACGCGCAGGGTAGAAGCTTTTTCTACGGTTTTGCGAGTTGCCACCTGTCTGCGACTCGGGCGTTATGTTACTCGCAAATACTTCAAGGTTTATTTCCATTCTACCATTACTTTTATAAGCTTAACTTTTACTCTTTTCTATTTTACGGTTCCTTAAGATCTCTGACCTCGCCCTTACATATCAACAGTTTCAAACCTTGATATTCTATCCATCACTTCGTCTCATATACTTTTTTCAAAGTTAAAGGCCATCTCTAGAAGGGTTACATTTTCTCCCTGTTCCCGGCCCAAAATTCATCATTTGCTAGATTTTATAGCACGAGTTTTAGAACTGACCTCTGTTGTACCCCAGTGGTTATGTCGATCACTATTCTTTCTTAACAACTTCTCGCCTTTTACACATTTAATCCAACACCTCATTCATAATATAGTCTGGATGCTTTCTCTTTTAGATCTATTATAACTTCACCACATCGTAGTGAATTGCAGGTATATTGGATATCTAATAGGATTTTGGCAAAGCTTTATTTATCGCCTGCTTTACAGACCCCTTGACTCTTATATCACTTGGCCGATTCTTCTTCTCAGCATTTTATCTTATAGCTTACCTATAAATGATAAGAGATTTATATTACGATATTTATTTCCTCCTTGGGGGGTTGGGGTTCTAAGTTTTCCTGATTTTCATAAACCGCTGTAAACTACACAAGTTTCACGTTTTTGAAGCAAATAACTTCTAACGTTCTATTAAGTACCATTTTGAACTTCTTCATAGTGATTCTGTATCCTCAATTCGTTACGTTCGCACCCAGTTTATTAGACAACTCTCGCTAGTGTTTATTTTTCTCAGCTTAAATACTGCTGTTCAATTTCTGTGCATGGCATTCTTCTTTGAGGCAGCTTACTACATTTTTATTCTTTCTCTATATATAGTAGTAATAATACTATTAGTTAAAACAGTAATATTTAGATTCATTAAATTCATTCTGCCAAGAAAAGCTGCTATGATAGACTGCTAAGAATTTTGTTTAGTACATTTATAACCAATTAAAGAGACTCATACAATCTGGCTTTCATATTTTTAGCTAGTACATCTTATAGAAGAATAACGCAAAGAATTGCGCAAGCAATCCACGTTAATTCTAAGAATAATGTTCCTTATTCTTTTAGGAATGATATCGGGGTCTTTCATTTGGGGGTTCCTTTTAGATGTTTACGGACGACAGAAGTTGATGATGATAGGTTATTTACTTGCCGCAAGTTTTAATTTTTTAGGCAGTCTATCTCAAAGCTTTGAGATGCTTTTGATTTGTAAATTTTTTGGAGGATTTATGTAAGTATGTGCCACGAGATAATAATTTGAATATTTAATAGATATCTTTGCAATAAATCTTTATTAATTTGCCTTCGAATTGTTAAGTATTTAATCACCACTCGTTGCTCCACGTGAGTCTATACAACAGGTTACAATGTGATAAATAACTGTTCGGATTTATAAATCGTACATGGGCGGAGAAACGGAATTAATCCTGGTATATTTTGAAATGTTCTTGGTGTTTTCCTCAAATTCTGTTTTATAAATTCGAATATACTTTCCGTACATATCGATTTACTATAATCATGCATGTCTTTCTTTTGTTACTTTTAGTCTACTCCTGAACATATGCTTCTTTCATATTGCTTCATGGAGTTTTGTCCAATGCTGTTTGAAACTAGCTATTTTCTGCGAAATTTTTGATCTCATCAAGTCATCTCTTCTGGGGTCTTCCAATTTTACATTTTATCTGTCTGGATCGCCAGTGAATCAGTTTAGTTATTCATCTGGTTTGATCTTTCCGAGCATTGCCATTTAAGTTATGGAATACATCTGCAACTTTGGTTCTTTGACGAATTTCTGCATTTGTTTTTCTGTAAGCTAGCTTGCTATACGGACATCGCAAACTTTTCTCTTCAGATTTATAGGGATTATATTATATTTTCCAAGTATATACTTTATTTTCCCGATTGCTGCCCAAGTTAGTCTTATGCTTTGTCTTGCCTCGGCTGTCTTAATTTTGTTTGTCTTTTTTAACAATAATTTTTTTTGTTTAAGTATTGTAGGTCCCTCTGCTGCCATGTCTGCATATTTAAGCGAATTCCATTCATCAGAATACAGAAACAAGGTTCAGTTAATAAATGGAACTTTAGCAAGCGTCGCTCAAGTCGTGATGCCTCTAATCGCCTGGGGAATCCTCCCCTTACCAATCAAATGGTCTTTATTTGATGGATATGTTGGTAAGAAGGTCATACATTCTATGATAGCCTGATAATTGTTTTATTGTCCATAGAATTGCATTCTTGGAATGTGTTCCTGATGGTGGCGGGCTTGGTCCCGCTGATAGGTGGGATTACATTTATTTTTCTTCCCGAGAGTCCCAAGTTTTTAATGACGTCAGGAAAAAACGATGAAGCAATGGACATATTACGTACGGTATATAGTTGGAATACGGGAAATCCGCGGGATTCGTTTCCAGTAAGTATACCATGTAGATTCCATAAATCATTAACTGCATATATTGTCTCTTTAAATTATTCATTTTTTTATTTTCTAACGATAAGACTATCAAAGAGAATTGAAGAACTTCTGTAAAAATAATACCTCAATCAACCATGGGAGCTTATCGTCTATACCTTGCCTAGCTCAGTAGCTCAAAGGTGAGTTCGTCTTGTCTTAAACTAGGGATTGAACCTGAGCTCTTAGCTGATATACAAGAAGACAAATTTTAACCAAACATATTTATTAAAAAGAATAAAAAAAAACAATAATCAACCCTGCCAAAGCTTAACAATTAATAAGTGACACTTTTTGCTTCGATCGATGGGCTGCTTGTGTGTTCTAGCTGTTAGGTCCTCCAATTAAATGTTGTACATACGGTCAATAGAATACCGATGTGGTCAATAAACCCAATAATCCCAATAAAGTTGTCAATATGCCCAATAAATCCAATAAAGTTGTCAATATGCCCAATAAACTAAAATATAAGGAACAGCTTGCATTAGAGACACATAAAAAAAAGGTTTAACTTCCTTGCCATCTTAAAAAATTGAACAAATAGCGTATGGTAAGAATAAAATGAAATATTCGCTGCGTGCGTGACTGATGCGACACCTACCGCCTTCATCTGACAATTTTGGAGTCCCAATTTTCAGGTTAAATATATGACATATGTTTGACATTGTTAAATACATGCGAAATTGACAATTATTAATAAATTAGTTTTTTAACTATATTTTTTCAGTTTATGTACAAAATAAATGTAGTATTAAAAACTGAGTTTCTCAAAATTCATCATAATATATCTTTTCAACTCCAAACGGAAAAGAAAGGGAAAAATCTAGTACTGGCAAATCAAGTTTTTCACGCAAAAGAGCATATAATTAAAAACAATAATAGTAAAAGTTATGATATAAAAGCTAAAGTCATCTGCAGTTAGCTTGAAGGCTTATGAAATATCATTCAAGGTAAATTATTTAAATTGTTCCTATTTCAATTGCATAAAAATGAAATTATGACATGTGATATTTACTTTTTCATATTAATAGCACGAATTCATCTTTTTTTTCTCTAATTTATATGTAATCTTTGGGAACCAAAGATTTTTATTATTAGCAGAATTAAATACGCAACCTGTATTTGCACACATTTTTGATAAAACTTATGCATAAAAATATTTTGTCCAATATTCCAATTTTGTCATATTTCGCCGCTACGCACGCTGGCATCGTTTCAATGTACCCCTGCCATGGTCACGCACGGAGCAAATAGATATTATTGAACTTTAGCTAAATTTTGTTAAGATTTCTAGATGCATATAATCGATAAAAAATCATAATTAAGAAGCGTGGTTTAGTGAAAGGACTAAGGTTATGAATATTAAAAATACGGTGAGAATTATATAATAAAGATAACGGTGAAAGTATTTACCCCAAGAGAATTTGTAGACCATAAAATGAGTCTTATAATAATTTTTGCCTTCTTTTATAAAGTTCAAAAAAAGACAAAAAATAATCCCACCACGTTAGAAAAAGTTGTTTTGACAAAAAGTGGGAGACTAAATAAAGTCAGCACAGATGTCATAGGATGTTGGTATTTCATGAAACTAGCTTGTCTGTCAACACGGAACAGAATATTTAGTCTGCCGGACACAAAGAGAGAGGGCAAATATTTATTCTACGGGACAGAAAGAGAGAGAAAATAAAGACAGAGGAACAAAAGAAAAACAGAAGACACCAACTACTTTTTAAATAAAAAATAGTAAAAATCAAATTGAAGACAAAGAAATTAATAAATTAATAAAGAAATTAAAATGAAATAATTATTTAAATATAAATTAATAGAGATGTGACATTTATCACGTTACAATTTTCATAGTTTTTATAGTTCATAGGCTCTTTACCACATCTCAAATATCTAAAGATTTTGCTGTGAGTATTTTTTTAAGACAAATATTATCATCATTATCAAAGACTTGCACTCCCTTGTGATTATGAGTAACGTCTAAGCGTTTTGAAAATTTTATTTTGAGGTGAGGTGGATTATTTCTCGTTATCATGTATGTGTATGGTGTGTGTTTTTGCAATTTTTTTGCTAGTTTTTGCTTCTACAAAAGAATCCTTTTTAACCGATTCCATTCGACGGTACTTACTTCATATATAACTAAAGTAGGCATGTAGATAAATAACTCACTGAGTTGCACACGCTTTCTGTTTAGATATATCAATCGCTACGTTAATTTGGACCAGGAGTTCATTTAGAAACTCACAAATATTGTAGGGAAAAATATAAGATAGCTGGTCCAAAGATTTAAAAGCCAATATTGGTAAAACTATATTGACACGTTAGTCATGTTATCCAAGTGAAACACGATCATATAAATATCCACTGAAAAATTCGAGAAGCCACTGGTCAATACAAGAGGAGAAATACACACCTCCTCATAAACAAAGATGGGAACCTGGCGACAACAGTTAAAGAGAAGTTGGTGACTTGGAAAATGTAACATTTCTGGGACTACCGAGGTAACCTTACAGAAATAAATTGCATGACAGGGACGTCAATACTAGAAAGCGAGGTGACAGCAGCTAAAACAGTCTAAGAATTGTAAGGCGACAAGTCTAGACGAAATACCCGTTGAACTTATTGAAGTGATGAGTGAAGTGAGCACAAAGCAGTTAACTGAACTGTTTAACTTCATTTAGGATTCAGGTAATATCACAGAGGAATGGCTATTGCCAACATTTGCAACACCACCAAAAAAAAAAGATCTGCGAAAACGTGTAAAGATTTCCGAACTATCAGCCTTATGAGTCATGCACTTATGATTTTTCTTAAATTCATACAAGCCAGAATTTACAAGAAATGCGCAGAAAATGTCGGTGAAATGCAATTTGGATTCCGCAACTCCATCGGTACACGTGAAGCACTTTTTACCTTACAAGTACTACTTCAGAGATGCCGCTACGTCAGTTGTGATGTCTATATTTGTTTTATTGACTACGCCAAGGCATTTGACCATTGTCAGCACCAGAAGATGGTCACCGCCCTACAAAGAGTAGGATTGGATGAGAAGGACATTAGGATCATTATACTGGAACCAGCGTGCTCAAGTCAAGGTCGAAGCCCAGCTGACCGATCAAGTGAAGATCATGCAAGAAGTAAGGCAAGGCTATGTGCTCTCGCCTACTCTTTTCAATATATATTCTGAGGCAATTTTTACTGAAGCCCTCACAAACCTAGAGATGGGAATCCGACTAAATGGCGAATACATCAATAATATCCGCTACGCCGATGACACTGTGTTACTAGTAACCAGCCTAAATGATCTACAAGCCTTACTAGATCGAATGAGAACTGTGAGCGTAACATACGGACTAGACCATAATATTAAGAAAACTAAATTCATGGTTGTCAGCCGTGCAAATTTAGATCCCGGGGCACTAATGGCAGGTAGCGAAGAGATACACAGAGTTGACAGATGCACTTACCTCGTAATTACTCTCAACTCACAATGGGACTACGGTCAAGACATTAGATCCAGAACTGAAATGGCACGGTATACATTCATTAAGTTGACATCCTTGCTGTGTTGCAGTGTTTTAAGTTTGGGAAAAAAGATGCGGATAGTGGGGTGCTATATTCTTTCAGTGTTACTATATGGAGTTGAAGCCTGGACACTGATGCAAGCCATAGAAAAGCGGATTGAAGCCTTCGAGATGTGGATCTACAGAAGGATACTAAAAATATCGTATGTGGACCATGTCACCAACGTTGAGGTGCTACGGCGCATGAGAAAAAAAAAAGAAGTACTTCATTTAGTGAAACAACGTAAGCTTGATTACCTCGGGCACGTGATGCGGAACGGAGAAAAATATCGAATTCTTCAACTCGTTATGCAGGGTAAAGTATTTGGCAGGAGAGGACCACGACGCCGTCGTATCTCGTGGTTAAAAAACCTCCGACAGTGGTTTGGATGACCTCCGCGAAACTAATTCGCAGAGCAGTCAACAAGATCGTAAAATTGTGGATTAGTAATAGGGTAGTAAGATTGAAAATAGAATAATTAAAATGAGACTTCTGGTAAAACTATTTTTAAACTTTAAAAAGTTAAAGGCAAATATCGAGCACAATTTTAATAATCAAATCTTGCCCAAGTACTTTCGCTTTCTACAGCATCATCAGGGGCATCGTCAAATTTGGGCTATCCAGCAAGCGCAAAATGTAATAAACATGAAATTAAACATAAATTGTACAAAACACTACACTAAAACAAGGACAAACAGTTTAAAATTATTTAGAAAATATTCTACGCTCTACATTCTTGTCGGAAACAGGAGAGAGAATCATTCTCTATCCATATTTGCCTTTAATTTTTCAAAGTTCAGTTATTCGAGCATTCAACCTTATATCAAATTATTTTTATTTTACGATTTACATAAATAAATGATATAGCTACGAAAAGATCGAAACTGAAGTGAAAAGTCAAGTGAACATATCCGCAGGTTACCTGAATGGAACCAGTATGGAGAAATAAAAATATTGGGAAAAAAATAAAAAGAAGATTTTACAAAACAGTCATCAGACCAATAATGACATACGCGACAGAAACAAGACCTGATACAGGGAGGACAAAAAAGATGATAGAAACAGCTAAGATGAAAACACTTTGATGGTACACAAATTGATGGTAAGACACTATGGGACAAAGCTAGGACAGTTGTGCCGTAGAGAAAAGGTGGAGAACATCAATAACTAGGTAAGAAATAAAAGAAAAAAATGGAACGATCATATAAGCCGAATAACAACAAATAGAGTAGTAAAGACGGCAAGATGTGGTTCCCCAATAGAAAGACAATCAGTAGGAAGACCATGAAACCGATGGAACCACAATTTACTGGAAGTACATTGAAAAACAGACAGAGTCATGTCTACACAAAAAGAAGAAGAAGAGACATAAATAGCAGTATGGAAATTGCCAACAAATCCGCTTTTGAATGATAATAAAATACATATATAATGTTCATATAAAATGTTGTTAAAATACACAAATGTTCATATTAAGAGTACTTAAAATTAAACAGATCAGATATGTAGATCAAAAAAGTTTATTTTGTATATCCGGCAAACCTGTAATTTTTCGGACCGGCATTTACGAAAGATTTGCTCAAAAAACTACAAAAGATGAAAGATTTCTCCTTCTTCTGTATTAATTGGAATAGCAGGTACTTCAATATTTTATGCACCAACACTGAATTTAATGAAGTTAACTATTTAATAAATAAAATTGACTTAAAGTCTGCTTCTATTTGAGATGCACTATTTACTTGCTTTTATTTGAGCAGCTAAAGAGAAAGTTTGACCAGCGTGCTTCTATTTGAGAAGACAAAGAGGAAGTATTTTGAGGTAGTTACGATTGAATAGTTTGAAGTTAAAAAACTGACAGGAGCAGGAGATACGATACAGCAGAAACAAGGCATGTCGTGCTGATCGTAGGTCTATAATTTAGTTACATGGGAAGTTCAAATATTTTGATTATTATTGTTTATTTATTAAACAAACTACCTATTGCAGAAAAGACAATTTTCTACAAGTATCTTTACTTACTCTAGATTTCTACGTATTTTTTTTACTATTTTAGGTTAAGATGTTAGTTGAAGAAAAAGTTAAAAACACCAAAAACAGAAATATTCTAGAAGACATCAGAGTGGGAGTTCGCAACTTAATCGCAATATTCAAACCTCCACATTTATGGAAGTTTTTTATTATTACCGTTACAATGACCATGTGTCTATGCAGGTATAATAATTTGCTTTAAACTTTTATATCGTTCAAGCTTAATCGTATTGAAAGAGATATTGATATTGGCGACGGGCAGCTCTCAGTAAAACACACGTTTAATTTAAATAAAAATACATTCCAAATAAATAAATAACAAAATAAAATTAATACAATCAACAGTAAAACGTCAATCCTGGCGACGACAGTGATATGACGCATTGTTTAATATCCGACAAAAATAAAATACAATTAATGACATATAATCTAAACGGTAATTACGGTGTGTTAATACACACTCGGCGGAGACGGGTCGAAGAATCGAAGATGGAACGGGCCAATCAACACTCGGTCCGGCGAAGAACGGACGGTAACTAATTAGTACTCAGTCACAAAAAAAATAGGTCTGCCGTAGATCAATACTCCACGACCAGGTACAGAACTACCACTAGTTCAATACTCTAACAGAAGTGGTTGGCCTTCAGGCAATACTCTAGTGCCAGTGGAGTTGTTATCAGATCAACACTCTGATGAAATTCCGGACGGTTGGCCTTCAGTCAATACCCATAGGCCTGGTGGAGTTCCCACTAGATCAGTACTTTGGTGGAACTCGACTCCTCTTACGGCAGCTGCTGTTTGATAAGGTCGTAGGCCTTACCTCTTATCTAACACGCATCGATAGAAGAGAAACTTGTGGTGGGTGGTGGGAATGCGTGTGTACAGAGCGTTGACGGGAAGGAGGTCATGCACATCGTTACATCTTTAATAGAAAAAGTGGACGATCTTCATAAGGAACACGATTTTTAAGTGGATTTGGTTAAGTAAATGATTTTTTGTAGACTGAAGTGATAAGGCATCAAAGGTAGATAGCGCAGTATAGGTCAGACTACATTTTTTTTAAATGTGAGCCATAAGTTATTAACATCTTTTCTTTTCAGGGGCTGAAAAATTGGGGTGAGTAACTAAAAACCAGAAAATTTGATACAAAACTTTGATTTGAAGAACTTTGAAAATTTGTTTCGGTGGTTACACCGAATACCATACATACGGTGGTCTTTATGTCAACCAGAACATTATCAGTCTTAGTACTTGCAGTATTTCACTTTATCAACAGTTTTCTTCCATTATTGGAGTGGGAAACGACTGAATGTAGTCATAAAATTTCGCTGTAAAGTCCTATAATGGTTTGTCGTGGACGATTCTTTGAACCATAACAATATAAAAACTCATTGTGCAGAGAATTTTCAATTATCATTTCCTCACTCCAGAGGGTAACAAAGAGGAGTGAGTGGCGAAAAACTAGGAAATTCGCTAATAAAGTGTTTTTGGATGTAGAAAATTGCCATTTCTTTATTATGAAGACTTCATTGTTAATTTCTCTACTATGATTAATGTGTTTGGAGATGATAGTAAACTAAAGGTATCTAAAAATTAGATAAAACGCCGATAGAAGAAAAAAAGAGTATCGTTTTTCTTTCCTATATAATCTATATCTTCCTATATTCCTCCATAAAATGATATAAACATTTGAATGACAGAAACGTTTTTTTAACTCTACTACAAAAACTCTTTACAAAGTTTTTTAGCGAATTTTCTGGTTTTAGTTACTTAGCCCTTTGCTATCTCTGATGTTGAGAAATAATAATTGGGACGTCTGTAAAGAATGATTTTTGATAAAGGTTTTTAGTCACTTATCCCACAGTTTTAAACCTTGGAGACAAAATCTATAAAAGTATTAACGTCAAGTGCATAAAATTTTACATACTACAGAACAGGCAATTGAAAATAAAAGAATTATAATAGTAATCTTTGAACAATAAACACATTTTTCTACGTTTTGAGTTAATATGTGGATATAAAGTGTTAAGACATAATTTAAAAAAGCAATTTCAAATTCACTTTACAAAAATATCACAAATTTTACAAAATCAACGAAGAAAACAAAACAAAGCTTTTTTTCTACAAATTTTCACAAAAGGTATAAAATAATTTCTATTATACCTAGTATATCTATTTTGTCAAAAAGAAATGGATTTCCCAACAAACAAAAAAAAGTAGTTTGGTTTGATGGAAATGAAAATAATAACAGACCGAAGTTTTTTAATTACCACTCTGTATTTACTTTCTTTCCTCTCTTTTAGTCTTCAGTGTTTACGTCAGTGGATGCCGCAGCTGTTTCAATCGATCGAAGACTACAAATCGATAAATCACGGTAATATTTCGGACATTTGTACAATGTTAAGTGGATTAAATCTGGAGAGAAAATCCAATGACGGTTGTTCTACGGTGAGTACATATATATATATATATATATATATATATATATATATATATATATAATATATATATATATATATATATATATATATATATATATATATATATATATATATATATATATATATATATATATATATATATATATATTGTTTTTGTATAATTGATGATATCATCTTGGCTATACCCAATGACAAGGTAGATGAACTATTAGAATAGATGCTTTCAATCCCCTACATCCAGTTCACTATAGAGAGGGAAGATGGTAATTGGTTCGGTAATTGACTATACAAACACTACAATTCTCCACTGTGAGAACAATAAATCTAAAAGATAGTTTATTGAAATGTCTTTTATTTTAACGATTTCTCCATCAATGTTAAAAATGACATTAAGAATCTAAGCGATATATACCACTTCTTACTTACATCAGATACCAAGAATAATACAACATCACAGATAACTAACTTGACTGATATATCCATTAACAACTAACCCACTTTAATAATAATTTTCATTAATCTTGAATTGTCAGCACATGCGTTCTGATAAAATAGAATCTCGCATTTATACTTTTAAACAATCAAAAATTTAGTTATTGCCGACAATTCAAAGAATTACTTCCTTATAAATGTAGTTACATTGGGTTTTTCGATTAAGCTTGGGTACACTTTGCGTGTACCCAAGGTGCACGATCCCTTCCTGCGTCATTTCGGAACCCGAGACGCAGTTCGGGTTCCGAAATGGAATGGGCACTCGAGAAGGACTATTTGCCATCAACATATTAATTCAGCGATGTCGGGATGTGAATGTTGATCTACACTTGTGCTTCGTTGACTACGAAAAAGCTTTCGATAAAGTAAGACATGAAAAACTAATATCAATACTTATGAACAAGCGCATTGACAGTAAAATCATAAATATAGTACAAACATTATATTGGAACCAAAGTGCCATAGTTCAAATTGATGGGCAACACTCAGAAGAAATGAGGATCTGTAGAGGAGTTAGACAGGGATGTGTGTTATCACCACTTTTGTTTAACTTATATTCTGAAGAAATTTTCCAAAACACGCTCAATAATATCGAAGCGGGAGTCACCGTTAATGGAAAATTAATTAATAATTTAAGATATGCAGACGACACTGTGATCATAGCAACGAGTATAGAGGATCTACAACATCTTATCGAAAGCTTAAGTATAAATAGTGCTGAGATGGGAATTAGGTACTATAAACGCCAAAAAAAACGAAGTACATGCTGATTACAAAAAGGCCACAAAATATACATCACCTATTGACAATAAATGGTAACGTGATAGAACAAGTAGAAAAATATAAGTATTTGAGAACTTTGATCAATGAAACCAATGATCATACTGTAGAAATAAACAGACGAATAGAGATTGCCAGATCAGCATTTATACGAATGAAGCCACTCCTAACGTGCAAAAATCTAAATTTGGAGATCAGACTACGTACCATTCGCTGTTATATATTTTCAATATTATTATATGGAGCTGAGACTTGGACATTAAAAAAATGTAATTTAAAAAGAATCGAGGCCTTCGAACTCTGGTTATACCGCAGAGTTTTGAAAATATTATGGACTGATAGAATTACAAATAAACAAGTACTGGAGAGGGTTGGTAAAGAAACAGAACTAATCACCACTATACAAACCAGAAAACTGGAATACCTAGGCCACGTGATGAGGGGACCAAAATATGAAATTTTGAGACTGATAATACAGGGAAAGATTCAAGGAAGAAGATCTGTTGGCCGAAGGCAGAACTCATGGTTAAAGAATCTACGTGATTGGTACCAATGCAGATCGATTGATTTGTTTAGAGCAGCAAGTTCTAAAATAAAAATAGCCATTATGATTGCCAACCTCCGTAGGGAGACGGCACTCTAAGAAGAAGACACTTTGCGTTTTAAGTTCAAAGCTACCATACATTTCCAACGGTAAAAATTTTTTTTCAGATAGTAACAAAAAAAAAACAAAAAAAAAAAATTTTTACATTCTAACTCTACAATTCTAAGTTACAGTAAGATCAACAGTGTTTTCTAATAGATAATATATGGTAACTAATCATAATTTCTTCTCTTTCAGCCCTGAAGAATACGAATTAATTATCTTTGGCGAAAATGTTCGGCGAAACAATTGATACTCATTAGAGTCTTTCTTGCAGATTTCCCCAATATTTAAAAGTTTATATATATATATATATATATATATATATAATATATATATATATATATATATATATATATATATATATATATATATATATTAAGAGTAAGAAAAAAGAAGTACTTGTGACTCGGTTGGAAAAAATATAAAACTGTTTTTAATGGGTTGGAGTCAATAAAAGGAGCTATTTGTTGACTATTTTTTACTCGAGCTTTCAATTGTGATTACAATTTTTATCAAGAGCTTCTAAAAAATACAAAATATCTTACAAAGTTGAACTAGAAATAAAAAATTTTTTGTTAACTTACCAAATAAAATTAGTTTTTTATATAAAACTACTGCTTACATATTAAATACAAAAAATATTAATAAAAAAATGTCTTATTCTAATAAATGTTTCTCTGAAAAATTTTGATGAAGTTTCTTAAGAAAAAAATTGAATTTGTACCATTGATAGATGCCCGAAAAATTTATTATATCTTACAAAGTTGATTTATTCAACTTTGTAAGATATTTTGTATTTGAGTCACCCATTTCCAAAATCAGTTAAATCCACTTGAAAAAATTTGTGGGAATAGGCCAATAACTAGTTGCGTACCTACCGTCATAGGGAACGTGATAAAGTTGTTATCAAAAAAAAAAAATTAAAAAATAAAGCTTTTTCCTAATAAAAATTGTATAAAATTAAAGAAAAAATGTAGGCACTGTAAAATATTAAAAATTTATTATAGCTGATTTTGGAACAGTAATAGGATTTAACTACTTTTGAAACTATTATGTCATAGTATTATATTGTTGTGAGGGCAAAATTTTTGCTTTAGTTAGATTGTTACAATAATGAAGCAATTTTTACTGAAAAGTTTTATTCGTACATTTTTTTAATAGTATTTGGTGTCTATTTTTTTAATCAATAGATTCGTCCTCAGCATTCAGTTCAAAATCATCTTCTTCGTCATCTACAGGATCGATTGGTTGTTGCAACATTTCCTCAAAAAACTTTAACTTCTGGTTGTTTTTCCAGTCTGTTCCATAATGGAGATCCAATAAACACTTTATATCTTTAATTTTCGCGTCTTTAACTGCCACACCTTCTGGTATTTCCGGAACAGCTTGATTTCCGAAAACTTTTCCTCTTTTTAAAACTGACTTGGGCTCACCCGTTTCAAAGTTGTAGTTGGCCTCTCCTTGGATCAAAGCTGTGTTTGGATTTCTTGTAGATCGTGTGAAAATGAATTTTTTAGCTTTTTGAAATTGGAAATGCCACTGTCCTGGAGGTTTTACCACAGCTTCTGTGACACTTTTCCAGTTACTGACAGAGCAGTCTGCACCCAGCTTTATCACAGTACAGGTATTTTTAATGATATCAGTGTATTCGTCTGGATTGTTGATAACACTGAAATTTTGAAACTGTCGTTCTAAAATTCCAAAGACTCGGTCTGGCGGGATGAACGAATGTCCGACTACAGGAAAGTATAGTACCACCTTATTCACGTTACGAGGAGCATCCTTAATAAGCCAACTGATAAGCATACCAACAACAATGGTGTTTTTATTTTGTCCCCCACAACCATCAGAAAAGAGTTTGACTGTGGTGACATTTTCAAAGTTCGAGTTCTGTAATCTATGGTACAAAGCAGATGCTATTTGATTGGATCCCTTTTGATACTGGTTTTCTGTCCAAAGATAGGAGAATGTGTTGTGGCAATTTCGTGTGGCTTTGGAGTGCCCCTCACATATAACAAAGTTATAAAGATACAACTGACGCTTATAGTACGCAGACTGATCAGGTATTTTAGGCAACACCAAGTTTTTTTGGCAGTCATAGCTGAACACAAGCTCGTTATCATTGTTCTCTCGTAAGAACATATAAAATTTCTCAGCACGAACTTTATGGACTTTCAACTCCAATTTTAAAGCTGCTCGTTTGTCACCATCCTTTTCGGTTGCTGTCTCGCATTCAAGTCGTATACATGTAGAACACTTATCAGTGTATGGGGCATCAAACCCGATATTAAAATTGGTGGCAAACACGTTTCTGAAGAAATCATACTTGCATGTTAATTTGGGAGTTGGATGTTGCTCACTGTACATATACCACATTTTTTTAATGCTCAGTTCACTCGGAAGATATTGTCTGTGTTTGTTCTTTGCTCTACAGTAGTGTTTCTGCACTGGTACAAAAGATTTAATAAAAGTTTTGATGCTTTCTTTCTTTGTGTTAAACTTTTCAACGTGGCGGGCTCCTCCACGAGTTTCAGATGGGAGTACACCTGTCTGAAGAAATTTTTGGCAAAGTAACTGCACCCGGTTTCGACTTTCTTGGAGTATTGCAAGTAATGCCGCTCGACACACTTTAATATTTTCTGTTTTATTGTGTCTTTGCTTAGGTAAGTAGAAACTAGTGCTTACCATTCTTTTTGAGGTACGTTCTGGAATCCGGGTTCTTTTTGCAGAAAAAACCATAACATGTTGCAGAATAAATTGTGTCTTCGATTGTAGGTCCGCATCTTTGTAATATCTGCGATGGATTTTTGTTACGTCTTGCAAGGAAAGCTCTGAGCATCGATACTTGCTTTTGCTTGGATGTTTGCAGTTTGGCATTTGAGGAAATCCCTTTGGACGGTGCCTAAAAAAACAAATTTGTTACACTTTCAGTTACCTAATCGCTTTCGCTGTAGTTGACGTTATGAGAGTTTAGGAAAGATTAGCCTGAATCTGAAGGTATAAGTAAAGACGAATAATAACGGATTATAAAAGGTGTCTCGTAAATGTGCCAATAAATTTCAGGGGATAAAAGTATACCTCTAAAAAAC